CGCGGGACGCGGGGGCGCAGGGGCGGAGGCCGCGCGACGCCGCCGCCGGGCGCGGCGGAGAGGGCGCCCTGGACGCGGCCCCCGCGCTTCGCCCAAGTTTGTCAACAGCGGCGGGCGGGCGCGCGGGGCACTCACCGGAGGCGGCCAGCAGGCCGGAGGCCCAGAGCAGCGCGCCGCACAGCGCGGCCAGCAGGCGGGGGCCCGGCATGCTCGGGACGCGGGCGGGGGCCGCGCGCTCGGCGGTGCAGGCCGCGGGGTTCTCGCTCCTTCTCCCGGACCGGAATAAATCCGGCAGCTCAGCGCCTCCCTCCCGCCCACGTGCTCCGCCCAGGCCGGCCGGGGCGGACTCGGGGCCGGGCTCCGCGGCCGGGGAGGGTCCCGGGCGAGAGGAGCGCAGGGGACCGCGGCTCCCACCCCTGCGCCCGCACCCCGCGCCCAGCCAGCGGCGGGCCCCGGGTCCTGAGTCGATCGGGCAGGGAGGGGCTCAGGAGGAGTTAAAAAAGAAATGACTTTAGATTTCAGCGAAGATGATAAACTTCATCCATAATCAGAAGTGCAAGTTAAAACTCCAGCGGGTACCATGTTTCGCTTCTCAGGTGGACAAGTATGAAGATGCTGCCAGCTAGTGGAGGCTGCGGGCAGCAGGTTGGAGCACGCTTTGTGAGAGGAGTGTACACTGGTTCAGCTTCGCTAGAGGGCTATTTGGTAATACCTGTGGAAATGGCACATGCTGACACTACAGCTGTGAGCCACCACGCCCAGCCCAGAACAGAAGTTTCTAATCACCCTCACCTGCTTTCTGCCACCTACCTGGCACAACTGCCCAGTAACCCAGTGAAGACACACATTTCATCATTAAGTCATTCAGCAAACATTTACTGAGCACTAACTGTGGTGAGCTTCATGTTCAAAAGCTCTGGGCGCAGGTTAGCATCCCTTGGGAGGATTTTTAAAACTACAGATGCCCAGGCCCCATCCCAGAGTAATCAAATCAGCATCCCTGGGGTGGAGCCTGGGCATCAGTATTTTTTTTAAAGCTCCCCAAATGAGGCTAGTGTGCAACTGGTGTGAAAACCACTGGGTAGACTCACCGAGGAGAGAGATGAAAGACCAAGGCTCTGAAACCCATAGCTGATGGGTGGGGGTAGTCAGCAGAGAGAGGGGTATAGAAGAAGGGGATTTTCTTGTATGATCTGATCTTTGTAAAGTTCAGTGGGATGGTGAACTGAATCTCATCCAGTAATACAGCATCACAGCACTATAAGACTTGGCTAGATTTTCTAGCAATAGTACTGTACCCTGATCCTAGTAAACAGGTAGTCCATTGAAAACCTTCAGATTTTTGTCCATATAAATGACAGGGAAAGCAGTGTACGTTTATTTTTTAGTTAATCATGCCCCTACACAATCAGAAAACATATTCTGTTTTCCAGAAGCTTAACAAAAATCAATTAAATTGAGAAAACTCTAAGTCAATGGTACTATGGGGGCATAAATACATCTACACCTGATCAGTGGAACTACTACAAGTTGGTTCAGTCTTTCTGGATCACAGTCTGGCTGTGACAAGACCTGCAAAACTTGACCAGGTATTCTGCTTTGGGCAAACTCACTGAAAGAAAATCACTCAAATAACAATTAATATACAAATATGTGCACAGCACTACTATTTATGGTTTTGAAAAACTGATAACAGTCCAAAATGCCAGAGGCAGCATTTTAACAAACTTGCTATGACAGATCATGGTATAGCCATACAAAGTGAAAAGGGCGTGCAAATCTGCATGTGAGAGAATGTGAACTGGCAGCTAAGGCCTCCATATCCATCCACAGCACACCTGTGTGCAAAAACAAAAATCAATGGAAAACTGAGTCACAAAAGAATAAAAACTGTATGATGACATGATTTTACTTACAGGAGGTATCTGAAGTACTTAAATTCACAGAACACAAAATGGTGGCTTCCAGGGGCTGGAGGGAGGGGGGGAAAAGAGGAGTTGTTTTTTATGTTATCTTATTTTACTTTATTTTATTTTATATTTGAGGCAGAATCTCACTCTGTCGCCTAGGCTAGAGTGCTGTGGCATCAGCCTAGCTCACAACAACCTCAAACTCCTGGGCTCGAGCGATCCTCCTGCCTCAGCCTCCCGGGTAGCTGGGACTACAGGCATGCACCACCACCATACCCAGCTAATTTTTTCTATATATTTTTAGTTGTCTTGCTAATTTCTTTCTATTTTTAGCAGAGACGGGATCTTGCTCTTGCTCAGGCTGGTCTCGAACTCCTGACCTTGAGTGATCCTCCCGCCTCGGCCTCCCAGAGTGCTAGGATTCTACAGGCGTGGGCCACCTCGCCCGGCCAACAATTTTTAAAATAATTTTGTGCATGAAACAAAGTTTGTGTTAAGTACTTATGTGTGGCATTTTCCACTTGTGGTGTCATATTGGCACTCAAAAAGTTTTGGACTTTGAAGCATTTCGGATTTCAGATTAGGAATGTTCAACTTGTACCAATATGGGTTTCTTAGTGGTGACAAATGTCCCATGGTAATGTAAGAAGATGTTAACAATGGGGAACTGGCTGGGTGATAGGCAGGGACTCTCTGAACTATCTTTGCAAGTTTTCTACCAATATAAGACTATTCTAAAATTTAATTATTTTTTTTTTTTTTTAAAAAGGCCTTGAGAAAGGCACAAGCCTGACTGATTAACAAGAGAATCAGGACCAACAACTGGACAGACAAGGGAGGAGGCATGGAGTCCAACAGGCATGGAGTCGGGCCGGGGCCAGCCCAAGTATGGCCTTGTCGCCAAGTTCAAATCCTGGTCCTGCTCTACACCAAGTGGGTGATCTGAAGCAAGTTCTTCCACCTCTCGCTGAGCCTCCGTTTCTTCATCTGTAAAACAGAGTAATAATAATACCTTCCTGGTGGTTTCTAGCTTGGACTTGATATTAATGTCCTTGTATATGTCTTTTGGTGAACATACGCCTGTGTCTCTGGTGGATATGCGCCTAGGAATTGCCGAATCACAAGGCATGCTCGTTCTCTGCTGTAGTAGATAAGGCCAAACAGTGTTGCAAAGTGGTTGTACCCTTGCAATGGATTTTATGTATTTATTTTTTTGTACATAGAATAAAATTCACACTCTTTACCATCCACTCAGTCAAGAGAACGTTGAGCAGAAGAAACCAGATACAAAAGAGTGCCTGTTCTGTGATTCCGCCCATATAAACAAAGGTCAAAGGCAGGCAAAACTAGTCAAGAAAAAACACTTATGATCAAGTCATTGTCACAGAAAAAATTTGATGCTATCCAATTCCCCTTCATTATAAAACACCCAACAAACTAGGAGTAAAAGGGAGCTTCCCAATCTGGTAAAAAAAAAAAAATCTGAAAAAACCCACAGTTGATATCATACTTAAAGGTCTCCCTAAAATCAGGACAAGGCACAGCAGTCTGCTCTTGTCACTTTAGGAAATGATTTCTCAGCCACAACACGTAAAGCCCAAGCACCAAAAGAAAAAAATAGATAAATTGAACATCCTCAAAATTAAAAATTTCTGTACTTCAAAGGATACTATCAAAAAATTGAAAAGGCAACCCACAGAATGGGAGGAAATATTTGCAAATCACATGTGTGATTACAGTCTAATATCTGGAAAAATAAAGAACTCTTATAACTCGGCCAGGCGTGGTGCTCACCCCTGTAACCTAGCACTCTGGGACCTGAGGTGAGTGGATCACTTGCACTCAGGAGTTGGAGACCAGCCTGAGGAAGAGGAGACCCGTCTCTACTAAAAATAGAAAGAAATTAATTGGCCAACTAAAAATATATAGAAAAAATTAGCCGGGCATGGTGGTACATGCCTGTAGTCCCAGCTACTCGGGAGGCTGAGGTAGGAGGATTGCTTAAGCCTAGGAGTTTGAGGTTGCTGTGAGCTAGGTTAAGGCCACAGCACTCACTCTAGCCTGGGCAACAGAGTGAGACTCTGTCTCAAAAAAAAAAAAAAAAAGGAACTCTTATAACTCAACAACAAAAAGACAGCCCAATTAAAAGATGGGCAAAGGATTCGAAGAGACATTTCTCTGAAGAAGATATGAAATAGCCCATAACCATACAAAGAGATAATCAACATTATTAGCCACCAGGAAAATGGAAATTAAAACTACACAAGATACCACATTCACATACCCACTAGGGTGAGATCTAATCAAAAAGACAGATACAAGTGTCAATGAGGATGTGGAGAAATTGAAACCTCATATATTACTAATGGGAACATAAAATGGTGCAGCCACTGTGAAAACAGCCTTGTCGTTCCTCAAAAAGTTAAATGTATGACCCAGCAATTCTGCTCCTAGATATAAACCCAAAAGAATTGAAAATATATGTTTATACAAAAACTTATACATGCAAGTTCATAACAGCATTATTCAAAACAACCAAAAGTGGAAACAACCCACACACCCATCAGCTGGCAATGAGAAATGAAGTAGCGTGTCCATAACATGGAACTATTATTCAGCCACAAAAAGAATGGAGATATTGCCTTTGCTGCAACATGGGTAGACCTGAGAAACATCACGCTAAGTGAAATAGCCGTCACAAGCCCACAGAGCGCATTATTCCGGTTATATGAAATGTCAAAAAACAATCAAATTTATAGAACCTGAAGGAGTGTGGTTGCCAGGGTCTGATGAGGGTAGCATGAGGAGTGACTGTCTGGGAACGTAGCATGAGGAGTGACTGGTCTGGGATGAGGGTAGCATGAGGAGTAACTGGTCGTGGGTACAGGATTTCTTTTCAGGGTGATGAAGAGAAGATGGTTTGAAATTAGATAGTGGTAATGGTTGTATGACTTTGTGTTTATACTAAAAACCACGGAACTGTACATTTTAGAAGAGTCTATTTTGTGTTAGTGAATTAAATTTCAATAAACAATATTAACTTCAGAGATCCATCCCAGATGGCAGATAGAGTTGTAAGCTAGAGCCCTTGCCAGTTACTGATACTTAACTCCTGCAGAACAGAAGTTTCTTTTTTTTTGAGACAGAGTCTCACTCTGTTGCCTAGCTCACAGCAACCTCAAACTCCTGAGCTGGAGTGATCCTTCTGCCTCAGCCTCCGAGAGCTGGGACTACAGGCATGCGCCACCATGCCCAGATAATTTTTCTATATATATTAGTTGGCCAATTAATTCTTTCTATTTATAGTAGAGACAGGGTCTCGCACTTGGTCAGGCTGGTTTC